CTTCCCTCGTCTGTTCCAGAAATCACCTGGCATCCACACGTGCAGCAGTACACCTGTCCTGTGTGCGTGTGTGACTCTTGGCCTGTGCAGGGCTTTCCCTGGAGCAGCACCGTGAGGTCCTTAAGGACAGACACCAGGCCTTATAGGTGCTTGTGTCTCCTAGTTTCCAACAGTAAATGTTCCTTAATGAAAAGTTGGCTGAGTCTGCATGTCAAGGTCAAGGGGAAGTGGTGCCTGTGGCAGAGTTCATCCTGACAGAGGTTACGTATTCTTGCATAATTGAAAGGAGACTCAGCTGGGCAGGTGTGAAGTCTATCCTGCTCTTTCACAGATGATCAAGTATAGTTCTATGTCTGTGGTGTCAAATAAAGGGCATCACAGTTTAAGAAAGACATGACAGATTAGGAAGCAGTTCAGAGGACAGCTGTCATGAAGATAGTTTAGAAAAGATGATCTAGGAAGAACGGGAGGAAATACTGGGGTTATTTAAATCTGACAAAAGGAGCCTGTAGAAAGTGTCACAGGTAATTGATTTTTGAATATATGTGGAGATGTTTTTACAGGGTGGAGGTTCTCAACCCTTTTTCATGGCAAGGCCCTCTTAGGAAAAGATTAGATTTACAGAATCCACAGGGTAGATTGTGCTCTAAGGCTATGACACTAGGCCTTGCCCTGCAACCAGAGGACTGAGGAGATCAACAGCTTAGCATCTAGTAACCCATGCTGGCCTTTGGGGAGTGTTATGAACTGAATGTGCTCCTCCTCAAAGTCATATGTTGAAACCTAATCCCAATGTGATGTTATTAGGAGTTGGGGACTTGGGAAGCTGATTAGGTCATGAGATTGAGGTCTTCATCAATGGGATTAGTACCCTTAGGAAGAGACCCCAGAAATCCCTCACCCACTTGTAGGGAAAGGATATACTTGTCTGTGAAAGTGGGTCTCAACAGACATTGAATCTGCCTGTGTCTTGATCTTGGACTTCCCAGCCTCTAGAACTGTGAGAAATGCATATGTATTGTTTAAACCATTCAGTCTATGGTATTTCTGGTATAGCACCCCAACTCACTGAGAAGAGATTTGTGCACCTCTTAGGGAATTGATGTAGAGAAAAGAGACTGTCTGTATTTTAGGTAGAGTAAGAAGAAGTAGGGTAAAAGTTTTATGAAAGATTGAAATAAATGGAGAAAACATTTTATACAATTTGGAAATATTCGATTGCTTGGTCAAAGTTGTGTGTGTGTGTGTGTGTGTGTGTGTGTGTGTGTGTGTATGTGTGTGTGTCTAGCATGTCCCCAAAGCAGTTTAAGCTTCACTAACTTCAGAAAAGTGCTACAGACTTACTCGGAAGGTCATTTGAAGGTTTCATTATTTACACTTAATTTATACTGATTTTACTTTGGGGAATATTGAATAATGAATTATTGATTTTAGTTGAGTCAATCCCTCTGAAGATGGTAAAGCCCTAGTAAACCTACAATGTGCTAAGCCACATGTACAAAACTAAGCAAGTATGAAAAAATGTAAGATATATATCTGGGTTCATGGAAGGCAAAAACATTCTATAGGAAAGATGGATTTGAGGATATATGTGATTCTGAGTATGAATGTCTGGATATAAGCAAAAACTACAAGTTGTTTTGCAGACTTTCAAGGCAGTGGAAAAGTTTCACTTAGAATCGGTGAGACCCAAGTCAATGTCTCCAAACAGTAAAAGTGGACCCAGGTATACATGGGTTATAGATGGATTAAGCAGAAAATTTCATTAAGGTAAGTATATGACATGATGAAAAGGTGACATAGGAAAACAGGATGGCAGGAAGGGCAGAGGGACCTGGAGGCCTAGAAGAGGTGATTGGATCTTCTGGGCTGATTGGGGGGAAGGGGTATGGGCACACCCTCTTCAGTTGTCCCCTCTACCACCCTCAGAAACCCTTTGTGACTCTTCATTGCTCTATGATGTAAGCCTAGAGAGTATATATGGTCCAGCATCTGCACACTCAGAGCTCAGTTATCTTGGGGAAGACTTGTGATTTGATTACCTATGGGCAGTTACCTATAGGCAGCCTTTTTGATTCTCTCAGTTCCTAATAGCCCTACTGAACCATGTTGAACATCAGCTCAACATGCATGGAGATGGACTCCAATTTCCCCTCCTTCTGTGGGCTGTCGTTTTTCCTTTTGTTCCTGTGGTACTTGATGGGGATTCCATTTCTATTCTGGAAAACCAAACCTATCCAAAAGGTAAGGAACCCTGAGGGAACCCTCAACAGAGATTATCACTGTTTCCATTTCTAGTCCCATATTAAAAACAAATAATGCTTATTTTTGAGAGAGAGAAAGACAGAGCATGAGTGGGGAAAGGCAGAGAGAGAGGGAGACCCAGAATTGGAAGCAGGTTGCAGGCTCTGAGTTCTCAGCACAGAGCCTGATGAGGGGCTCAAATTTACAGACTGCAAGATCATGACCTGAGTCAAAGTCAGATGCTTAACCAACTGAGCCACCCAGGCTCCTCTCTAGTCCCAAATTTTAAAATGACTTTGGTAGGATCATCTTTCACTTTGTCCCCTGCCTTCTCAGCAGTCCCTCCAGGAGACCTAAAATATCAACTTCTCTGCCTGAGCCTCCCCGAACACCTGCTTCCACCTTCCTACCAAACTCAATGACCCCCTTGGCGCACTTTTTTCACCCTCACCACCGGATCACTCTTTGTCACCAGGGCCTTTTCCTCCCTTGGATTCCAAATTCTCAGTGGAACATTTCCAACCCCAACCTCTTGTCTTTTCCCCTCTCCCACCATATGATGCTGAGAGTATGAATTATGTTGTCCAACCACAGTTTACTTTGTCTCTAAATACCATCTTCTTTCTTGAACCCACCCTTTCCCAAGATGTCAATCCCTTTACCAGAGTTGTCCCAGACAATGAATCCCACTGAGACCTGTGTTTGTCATCATGCAGTACCAACCCTGTCTGTTTCACCACCACCAGACTGCACTTTAACTGTGACTAAATCTAAATTGATTTACATCTCCTTGAAGCCTGTTCTGGAGAACTCTCTAAAATGGCCCTGCCATTTTGTTTGCTGTCCACTTATATCCTGACAAACACAGGCATTGACTGTTCAAGCTTGTCTATCTCAGAACTCTCTGGGTGGCAAGCTCATGCCAAAGACTTCTTCCCTTCCACCTTGGCTGTGTATAATTTCAGTCAAGAGTTTCTTGGGGCGCCTGGGTGGCTCAGTCGGTAAAACGTCCAACTTCAGATCAGGTCATGATCTCACGGTTAGTGGGTTCGAGCCCTGTGTCAGGCTCTGTGCTGACCACTAGCTCAGAGCCTGGAGCCTGTTTCAGATTCTGTGTCTCCCTCTCTGACCCTCCCCTGCTCACGCTGTCTCTCTCTCTCTCTCCCTCCCTCTCAGAAATAAATGAAACATTAAAAAAAAGTTTCTTGCCTTCCATTCTTCAGAGGCTTCTTCCAACCTCTTCAACTGTCTCCTCCTCATCTCAGAAACCCTTTGTGATTCTTCAGTGCTCTGTGATTGAAGCCTGTAAAATGTTATATAGTCCAGTGTCTGTATACTCAGAGCTCTGTTACCTATAGGCAGCTTTGTGATTCTCTCATTTCTGAATACCCCTACTGAAACATGTTGAGCTCAACAAGCTTGGAGATTGACCCTAATATCACCTTCCTGTGTGGGTTGGGGTTGCCCCTTCTGTTCCTGTGCTACCTGATGGGGATTCCATTTTCAACCTGAAACACCAAACTCATCAAAATGTAAGGATTCCTGGGGGAGCCCTCAACAGACATTAGTATTGTTTCTATTTCTAGTCCCAAATTTTAAAATAAGTTTGGTAGGATCAGACACACCTCAAATGGGCATTCAGTCCTCTAGGAAAAGAGATCTGCCAGGGCTAAGGGTTAAGGAAGTACTAATGTTTCCACTTGAAGCTCACAGACTATCTGGGTGTGGTGGTGGGTCTTAGATAAAATCCCAAACATAGGGATTCTGTAGTCCTAGTTTGGGTTTAGAGAGTATGGGATGTGTATAAGAGAACAATGATCCCCAGCATTTGATCATGGGTCACCTTCTCATGTGAGGTGTCACTCGACCAAGTCTTCCATTGTGTTGGGCTGATCAAGAGAAGATGATTTTGAGAGAGAGTGTAAGTAGGGTGGGGCAGAGAGACAGGGAGTGAGGTTTCCCAAGCAGTCTCCATGCTGTCAGCACAGACCCTGAGAGCCTAATCCTACAAACCACGAGATCATGACCTGAGCTGAAATCAAGAGTCGGACACTTAACTGTCTGAGCCACCCAGGTCCTAAGAATGTCTCTGTTTCTGAGAGAAGAGTGAGATGAGTCCCAGCCCCTCATTCTTTTATTTTCATTCTAGTGTCAGGGCGGACCCAAGAGGGGCAGGAAGAGTTGGGCACTGAGAGGTAAGATTCTGCCCATTCCACCTGAGTTCTCCCAAGGACGACCCTTTCCGTCCTTTCCATGAGATTCTAGGGCCATGATTCCTGAGGATGTCACTACTAGGCACAGTCCCCATCTGAAAATGGAGGCCTCAGAGCAGTCACAGCCAGAGGCCCTTATATTCCCTGCTCCTCCCCATCCCTGAGCATGGAGCTGTGATGGATCTGGGCAATGAGTGTTGCCCAGTAAGTGGCTGTGTGAGATGTCAAGAGTCAAAACTTCTGTCTCGTGATTTGTGAAAGACCTGTGACATCATGGATACTTATGATTCCTCCCTGAGGTAACCACTGACCTCTGTGCTTCACAGAGGTGGTTTGAGCATCACCTGAGACAGTATTATCTTAAAGTACTTTCATTTACATATATTTAAGTTAATACAAATATCACATCATTGACCATTTGACCTCATCTATGATTATTGGGGCATTCAGAATCTTATATCCCAAGGGTATCTCATAAAGGGACTTCTGTATAATACCTATGTTCCTATTTTCACCACATATAACCCACTCTTCTGATTTCCCAGGTTGGAAATGCAGTCATAGAGAAGAGGAAAAGATAAGGAAGTTGATGTCTAATTTAAGGAGGTGACTACTCTTTCCACTTCTATCCTGATCCCTCCTAGAGCATCATGTATGCAATTGTAAGGATTCAGGGCAGCCTGCCAGTCATAGGAGGGGGTAGCCATAGGAATAGATATATGAATGAGGGCATTGGGGTGAAGGCTACTGAGTGTATTATGATTTCATAAATGTGGAACACTGTGAAGGGGCAGCAGGCTTCAGGCAACCCCTCCCTTGGCAGGTCAGCAGGTCCTCCTTTCCTTGTCTGGCCCTGGCTGCAGCTTTGTATCTCCTTGTCTCCTTAAGCCACCTACACCAACAACGTGATACCATCCACATTCGTCGCCTGTTATGTCCAGACCCCAACTGTGAGGTGTGTAATAACACCACTGCTGAGATCAATCGGCTGCTGTACCCAGAGGCCCTAGAAGATGCTACTTCCTTGATTTCCACAGCTTCTGTGACTGAGCATTATTCACCTTGTCCCAAGCCTTCTCAACAATCCCTCCAGAAGACCTAGTATCAGCCTCTCTGCCTGAGCCTTCCCTACCACCGGCCTCTACCCTCCTACCTAACCCAGTGACCCCCTTGGCAGCCTTTTCCTCCCTTCAATTTCAAATTCCCAGTGGACCATTTCCCACCCCAATCCTTTGCCTCTTCCCCTCTCCCACCATATGATGTTCAGACAGTAGACCCTGTTGCCCAACCAGAGGCTACTTTTTCTCTGATCTCATCTTTTCTCATGAACCCACCCTTTCCCAAGATGTTAACTTTTCACCAGACTTGTCCCAGACAATGAATCCCTGCTGAGACCTGTGTTTGTCATCATACACCACCTACCCTGTCTGTTTCACCACCACCAGACTGCACTCTCACTAAACTGATTTACATTTCTTTGAAGACTGTTCTGGAGAACTCATCTCCAGAATAGCCCAGGTGGGTTATCTACTTATGTCTGAACAATCACAGGCATTGACCATGGAGTTTGTCAATTTCAGAATTCTTTTGGTGGCAAACTCATACCAAAGACTTCTTTCCCGTTACCTATACTGAATATAATTTCAATTAAGAGTTTCTTGCCCTCCATTCTGCAGAGGCTTCTTCCAGGGGAGACCTTGAAGCCAACCTTGTAGACCCTGGTGATGTCTCATTTCTCAGCCCTGATGTCCTAGCGCTTCTGGAGAAATCCAAAAGAGGAGTAATTTCCTGATTTGGGAGGAATAGAAAAAGGGCTCTTTCCAAAACAACTTAGGCTAGACTACACACTAAATACTTCAGGGAAAATGCTAGAGTCAATTGCTGATAAGCATGACTTGACAGCCTCCCTTCCTGGAGGATGGAACAGCAAAGATAAAGGAGCCGCATGTGCATCTGCAGCCCCCATATCCTATGAACTTGGCAGAGGGCCATTTACAGCAAACACCTATTCAGCTCTTCTGGGGTATCCCAGCTCTGTATGACTAGTCCTTGCCCTCTGCTCCCCATGTCTCAGATAAGGATAGAATCTCTGCCTCCATAGACCAGGAATCTCCAGTCCTTCCCCAACCATGCCCTCTGTTGCCCATATCTCAGATGATTGCTCCTCAAACTTTAAATCTCTGCCTCCACAGACCAGGAATCCTGAGTACTTTCCCATCCACTTTCTCTAGCCTTACTTGATACCAGCCTCAACCCCTGCCTCAACCCCAGCCCCAATCCCAGCCCCAACCCTAGCCCCTATATCTCAAGTCCAGTCTGAGGCTGACCTTCAATCCTCACTCCCAATCCTGCTACCTGGTCCTCTACTCCAGATTAAGCCTGTGGAGTGTGTTTTCATAGACCCCAGAATGGATCAGAGTCTCTCATCTCTGAAACTCAATACTTGGAATGGAACGTGTTGTAGAAACAACAGGAAAGTTTGTGGTGTTTACCCAGTGTGGTTCAAAGATCCCACAAGGACTTTTGTCCACAATTCCTAATGCTTCTAACTCCCAGGACTCCCAGGCCCATGTTGCAATGTCTGTCCTTCCCAGACAGTGTAAGAAACTAGAACCTCATCTTTGAAAGAGGCTCATCCAACACCAGTGGCGCCTTCCCTGCAGGGTCCATCAGTACATAGATCTCTAAGGAGAGTAGCAAAAATCTAAATGTTGGGTTGAGCCAACCTGAAAGCTTCCATGAGCGGGACTCAGAAATGCTTTTGATGGAGGAGGACATTGGGATGGATCCAGGAAAGAAGCTAAAGAATGGCCCCAGAGATCATCTGTTGAGTGACCCAGAGAGTTCTTCAGATCAGGATATGGGGTATGATTCTGAGAAAGATCAGGATATGGGGTAAGATTTTGAGAAAGATCTTAAAAGCCCATCAGAGAAAAAAATCAAAGGCATCTGTGAAAAGTCTAGGTCAGAGACAACTTGGAAATGTGCAGAAAATACATTTGAGCAAACATTTAAGGAAATCAATGAGGGTCAACTCCCTGGGACTGTGCATAGTTCATGGCATACTACGAAGCAGACATTGCTTCCTTCTGAGAAATCCCACACGGAAATACAACAGAGAGTTCTGTCACCATCAGTGGGTGGGGACTACTGCCTGAACACCTCCTGGGAGCTTTCCTTCATTGAATCTAATGCACAACAGAGGCTGTAATCCCATATTAAACAATTTAATATGAGGATGGTACAAGGCCTTCCCCCCAAGGTCCTTGAATCCATAGAGACCTTTAGAGGCCCTATCCCAGGCCTTATCTCATTCAAACTTTCCCTCCTCAACCAACTGTATTTCTGAGGTCAATTCAGAAGTCTGGGGCCTTCAAGTCCCTTAGAGGAAGCTCTAAATCTCTCCATGGAGACAAAGTGGGAACAGCAAATTCAGCCCCCATCCTGGATCATTCTCTCCTTGCTACCTCAACGGTGGGCAAAGATGGACAGGGAATCCCAACAAAATCGCCCTGTTATATCAACCATGAGCTTGCAGAGGATGCTCAGGCAGACTCTTCAACCTATCAGACACAGCACAATAGAGAAAGCAAGTCAGAGACAGCCTGTACCAGCCAACAGATTTCCCACAAAACTGCCCATTAAGGCAAACTGGGGCCATATGTGAGCCAAAGGTTAAGTCAATAAATCCCAGTGGTAGAGTAAAAATGCAACACAGCAAAACTATGAAGAATCCAGAACCCGTTCCTGTACCCAATGTGTCCAGGGAGATATTCAGGGCTGAGAAGCTTGGTGTGTGTCAATCAAAACTAGAGATGTCTTGACAACCACCAAGCCAGGAAGCCCCCAAATGATAAATGTGAATGCAAATAAGGTCAAAGCTGTGACCATTAAAAGCCACCCACCAAACATATCAATTCCCCAAGATCCTAAATTAGCAATCCTTAAAGAACAACTGTATAAGGAATTAAAGCATAAGCTGGAGCAAAGAGAGTATAGCTAGGCCCAGAGGCAACACAACGATCTGACCCTCTCGACTTACAAGCCCTCCCTTCCTCATGACCAGGGTGACTCCAGTGGGGACATGGGAGCTACCCAGGTGCTGCACGTCCATCTGGAGGACACAGGAATTAGTATGGGACAGCAGCAGGAGCCATGGGTCCCTAAGCATGTCTTAAGGAAGCACCAGCTCTAGAATTACCCACCAACTACAGAGACAGTGAGCCCTTCATGCTCCAAAGCACAAGAGTCTCTGGTGGAGGGGATGCAGGACTGGGGACATCCGAACATGTAAGGAAGTTTCCCTACTCAGGACGTGGCACTGAAGGGGAAGCTTGGGAGCCAGTCCTACCACACCCTATCACAGAAGGGTCAGCCTCACCGTGAAAGCCTTTTAAATGAACACTATTTTACAATGCCTTAAACCCAGGAGAAAGTGCAAAAGAGCAGAAAACTTCCAGGAGAAGGGGAGCACCCTCTCTGTAAAAAGTAGAGGCATGATTCCAGATAGAGTTTCCTTTACTGGGATGACCAAAGCTCAGAAAATCAAGAAAGATGTTGGAAAGGTCCTAGAAGGGAAAATGGGGCACCAGCATGCAATAGATAGCACCTGCCCTCAACAGCCCCTTTTGTCCCCGCCCAAGTTTGTGAAAACTTGGAAGGAAGCACAAGTGCAGGCCAAGACACAATCTGTCCTTTTGAATACAGGGCCCCTCCTGTAACAAGATAAATACCAAGTCCTGCCACCAAGAAACTGTCCTTGGGGGCCACAATCATTCTGCAAGTTTTAGACAGATCAGGGACAAGGACAGACACCCCCACAAAGCTGTGGCACTTAAGTACCAGCTATTGGGTCAGAACCATCACCTGTCTGTGCCCCACAGGGAGCCAGTGCCCCACACATGCCGCACCTGCAGGCCTCAAGCTGGCCAGGGGCCTCCAGGCATTCTCACCACTGCTAAAGGCACAGTATTCAGAGATCTGTCTCTATTATTTAGACGGAAAAGCCTTCTCCAGAATTTTTTTTTTTTTTACAAATAGTTTATTGTCAAGTTGGTTTCCATTTAACACCCAGTGCTCATCCCCACAAGTGCCCCCCTCCGTGCCCATCCCCCCCTTCCCCCGACATCCATCAGTCCTCAGTTTTTGTCAGCATTCAAGAGTCTCTCATGGTTTGCCTCTCCCCCTTTCCCCCACCATTTCCCCCCTTCTTCTCCCCATGGTCCTTCTCCAGAATTTCTGGGTGGGGGAAGTTTCCCACCCCAAATTCCACAAAATAACCCCTTATAAAGAATATTTATTCTTCTCAATAAATATTTCTCTAATAGTGATGTCTGTTCTGTGTATTGTGTTCAGGGCATGGGTTTTGGGTAATTCAGAGCTTTGTGTTAGTTCAGCTGTTACTGATTGCTTCAAGGGATCAATCCCCTGAATCTCTTGAGAAATTGGTATCATGTGCCCCCAAAGCCCATTTGATGCAATTTTAGGAGATGGGCTCTGTCTCCTGTAGGTTAGCCTTAATGAAAATGTATAGTAGCCGTCACTTTAACTGTCATCAACTGTTTAATACCCCTTAGAGCAAGTTTTTTGTAATTGAGGAGGATAAAAGATAGGTATAGAGTTCAGAAAATAATGATTAAGCCACTGGTTTATTTTCTTCACAGTTAGTGTTACAGTGGCTTAATCATTATTTAGAAATCTGTGATCAGGAGATCCCACAGGTGGGTGAACTCTGAATGGGCGTGGTTGGGCTGGCTGGGGTAGGGTCTAGGAACAGCATAGATGCTGCTTAAGAATCTGTCATGTGGGTCTTGTCAAACTTTTTTTGCAAAGCAAAAGCATCACTTATCTGTCAGTGGTAACAATGTTGACAAGGCAGCCACCACCTCCCAGGGTAAGATGCCTTAGAAAAAATGAAGAGGGGAAAGAGTGACTTTGCTGGAGGAACAAAGATCATCTTATCATGATCCTGTTCTGCTTCTTACTTTTCTCAACCTGATTCAGGCACCAGCAGCCTACTGCTGCTACTGCGCAGCCAGTGCAGTTACTGCCGCCCTGCAGAGCTTATTACGTTGAATACTTCTGCCATTAGGGATACTATAGTCTGACATTCTGTCGTTTTACCTTATCGTATCCTTCCAGCTTATATGTTCCCTGTTATCAACTCCACATCATTCATTTTTCCACTTCTTGTCTATCTACCAAGGCCTTGTCTTCCAGACCATCTATCAGATAACTAACATTTTAAAAGCTCCAGTATAGGAGCTCCTAGGTGGTTCAGTCATTTAAACAGC